AGGGAAAGCTGGGGAGGGCTAGCCTCCCACTAGTTCGAATTAAGTGGCTACACAGCCCTTAATTCGAACTGCTTAATTCGAACTAGGCGTTAGTCCTCGTAGAATGAGGTTTACCTAGTTCAAATTAAGCGCTCCGGTAGTTCGAATTAATTTCGAACTAGCGATTTGTATGTGTAGCGCCTATCAAAGTTAATTCGAACTAACGTCTGTTAGTTCGAATTAACTTTATAGTTTAGACATACCCTAAGTTATTTCAAAATAATTTCCTAGTGTGGACATGCCCGTAGAGACTAACAAAAATATATGGAATCATAAGCTTTCAAAGGGTAAAACCACTCCAACTCATCTGATGTACAAAAACTCATGTTTCCATATATTTATTAATCGCTAAGTGTACATCTACACAGTAGCGTTATTTCGGAATAACTGACTGTAGTAGTTCAGGACAGCGAAACAGTAAATTCACTGGTGTGGTGTCTTGACAGGTCATCTGCTCTGTCAGTGATGATAAACATTCGGCTGTGTGCATTTTTGTTTGCTCCTTCAGTATATCATGCCAGCTCTGCGCAGGTAGCTAGCACAATAGACCACTGACTCTGATAAGATACAAAGTCACCCGAGTCAGGTTTATTGTTGAACGAAGTACATTAATAGTTGTCAGCAGCCAGATAACCTTCGAGATCCTACATATTTGTACCTGGGACAAAGAACTTGGCTCAGTCGATAGTATGGATTTCACTATCAGCCAAAGAGTATTGTCAAGGCACACCAATATTTATAGACAGAAATGAACAATCTATGATACATACTGTACGTATCATCTTAGGCATTAATGACACATTTGGTCCTTCCCTTTGTACTTTCCTTCAAAGCAGTCACTGCCCATTGTTAGGCTTACACCCTTGTGGTTTCAAACTATTTTATCATGTTCTCAGCTGGTTCTCCTTATACTCTCCTGGTGGTGTGTATTTACATACTTCATGTGCTTTTATCAGTTCTAGTGCCGAGAGATACCGATGTTCAGGCAAAAATTTGCTTTTGACATGGCCTGTCTATTACTCTTAGGCTACATCTACACTGCAGGTTCCTTGCGTAAGAACTGTTTTGCGCAAGAATTTTTGTGCAAAAGTTCTTGCACAAGAGTGCATCCACACTACCATGTGCTCTTGCACAAGAGATGTGCTTTTGCGCAAAAGCGTCCATGGCAGTGTGGATGCTCTCTTGCGCAAGAAAGCTCTGATGGCCATTTTAGCTATAGGGTTTTGTGCGCAAGAAATCCATGTTGCCTGTCCACACTGCCTTCTTGCGCAAGATCGCTTATGCAAAAAGGCTTATTCCTCATGGGGAGAGGAATAATTCTTCCGCAAGAAGCCCTCTCTCTTTTCCAACATTTTACCGTAAATTTACTTGCGCAAGAACGTGCATGCAGTGTAGACGCTCTGCAAGCTTTTGCGCAAGAACAGCCGTTCTTGTACAAAAAGCCTGTAGTGTAGACATAGCCTTAGTATAACTCTTGCTTACGTTGGTTCAAGCACCAGGCCCATGCTTCAGGCTCTTTCTTTCTCCTACCGTGATGTTATTCCGAAATAACATAATCCGTGTCTACACATAAGCAGTTATTTCAAAATAATGTCGAAATAATGTCCAGCCAGAGGACTTCTTACTCCAACTCCCGTAACCCTCATTTTATGAGGATTAAGGGATGTCAGAGGAAGAATGCTCCTTCTCTGACTTCCTGCTGTGTACACCAAAAGCTGAAATAAGCTATTTCGTCAATTGCATTGCTTATTTCAGATTCAGCCCTGCTGTGTAGACGTACCACAAGGTGCCCCAGGACTACTTATTCTCCTTTTTGTCTTATTCCACGATACTGGTTGTGGATGTGATGCAAACTGCTTCTGTCCTAAAGGATTTGCAGGGAGCTAATTCACCCGTGGAGAGGACAGACTCATTAAAGAAAGCCTGGAACCCTGCTGTTTCCCTATCCCCTTCGTTTTCCAAGGGTGCCTGGCTTAACAGCAGCTGAGAGAATCGACTACAGTGATAGATTGTGAAGGGACGGAGAGAGCGAGGATAAATATCAGCTACCCTGAGTCTCCTCAGTGTTCCTCTTGTTTTTCATATTTGGGAGGAAAAACTCAGATCGGCTGTGCGGTATTTGCAGCCTGCTCTGGGCCCAGGTGGGAGAGGAAGCAAAGCATCCCTTTCCCCAGAAGGCTGTTGGCTAACGTGCAAAGGGATGGAGTGGGAGGTGATGATCAGGCAGTGAATGTCTGGACATGTGGAATGGGCGAGACAGAGGCAGTGGGGTGGCTCAGAGGGATACAAAGGTTTCCCCCTGGACTGTAGGTTATTCTTGCAAATCCAGTGGCGCTTGAGGATGACAGGCACGGCTGGGTATATATTGGCATGTGCGGAAGGCAACAAGGGACCAGATGTCTCTGTCTCGAGAACTACTGTAGCACAAGCAGCACCATGGCTGGCCAGCTCTCCCGAGAGGCCGTGGGCGGAATGGGGAGAGTTGAACCGAACGTCTGGCCTGGAGAGGAAGTGGCTGCACATGCCGGCGCGAGACGTGTTGGAAGCCCGCAGCAAGCACGCAGGGGCGGTAGGTGCGTTAGGCAGGGGAAGGCGTTGCCTTTCCAAACGGCCAGCCTGGCCCCGCCCACACTCCATGCCTAGGACACCTACTGTAGGCATTCTGGGGGCGGAGGGTTGCTGCCCCTGAGTGCCTGCCCTGCTTGTGCTCTGGGCTGGGGAGGCTGGGGCCACATGCCCTCATCCCTCCCCATGTTCTGGGGCCACCCGCCCTCCGTGTACTCCAGGCCCATGCTCTCCCCCGGCCTTGGTGCTGGAGCCAGGGAGGCTGGGGCCATGTGCCGCTTCACCTCCCCATGATGCTATGGTGGGGGGCTTGGCTCCTGGGGAGGGCGGGGGCCTGGGAAGAATGGGCAGGGCTGGAGACTTGCCTTCCCTAGCCCTGCCTTCACCCACCGCCCATGTATGCACGCTTGCAGCAGGGCTCCAAACGGTCTTTATGCTCAGCAGAATCATACGGATGTGGGTTTTTTGCGTGGTGGGACCGTCAGTCAGCACGTGTCCCCACGCCAATGCTAATGAATCCAGACTGGGCAGTGCCGTGTCATCCCTGAAAAGGCCAGGTTGACACCAAAGAGAGACTCTCTAGGAATCCAGGGTCAATACTTGGGGGGACTTCCTACTGCTAACTGGCACGCAATGGCTGGTTCCCATCGGATCAGGGGAAATCATACTGAAATTTGTTATTAAGTCTTAGAAGGAAGGGTCCCAAGCTTGGAAGCTGTATGGATCACTGACGTCCGCATTCGATGGGCATCTTCCTTCATTTCCTTCATGCATGTACATTACAATCCAGTGCTTAAGCAAACAATTTTGTTGTCAAGACCATGAGGGCCTTGAGGGGTGTGGTACAAGCTGCCTCTAGATTCTCTGCCAGTCCAGGCCCCTTTTGATTTTTTTTGCCGTTCCACTTTTTAAGAACACTATTTCCATTTTGTACTGTCTGCCTCCAAAGGGCCCTGAAATAGCATTTCCCTTCGCTCTGTTCCTGTCTCTCCAACAGACCTGGTGGGTGGGGAGGAGGCGCTGCTGTGCCCAGATGTGCTGTGTCTCTTGGAAAGACATGCAGGCTTCTCCTTTCCTGCGGGGCTCCACGTCTCAAACTTTTCCTGTTGAAAATAAATAGATGAAACCTTCTGGCTCTCCCCCCTCCCCACATTCTATAAAAATTCACTTCATGGGTGATGGAAACACTTGGGGTTTAACCTTATTCCTCATTAAGGGGTGGATGGAAGAGGATGGTTGTGGCAAATTAGCCACCCCACCACCACCACCACACCCACAGACTATTCTTAAAACACAGATTGTGGTGATCCACTGCATGGACGGTGGGTGAAGGTAGGACTGGGGAAGGCAAGCTCCCAGCCTCGCCTCCAACCCTGCCTTTTCTGGCCAAGCCCCACCCCCAGCACCACGTGGAACGAGGAGGGCACATGACCCCAGCCTTCTGGGTCTCAGAGCACCAGCGCGGGTGGAGGGTTTGTGGCCCCAGCTTCCCCGGCGCTAGATCACGGGCAAGGTGGATGCAGGAGGCAGCAACACTGCCCCCAGCGTGCCTACAGTAGGCGTTTTGGGGGCAGAGTGTGGGAGAGGCCATGCCTGACAGTTTGAGAAGGCAACACCTTCCCTCGCCTAGTGTACCAGTCGCCCCGATCCACTGAAAGCCAAAAACAGCGTGTAGCCATGCCAGGGTTTCAGACTGGCTGTGTAATTAATTAAAAGGAGATGGTTGTGGCCAAGGACCCCTACATGATGAGACTTTCCTTATCCTACCTCATATTGCCAACCTCAAACATTCACGAATGATGAGTGAGGCCTTAAAAGTGATGAGCCTTTTACAAAGGACAATGAACGTTGCTCCCTCTTTATTTGCCTTCTGGTTTTTGAGCTTGTAGGGTTCACATTTTCAAATTCCTCTCTGGAACCAGGAGGGCTAGAAACTTACTTTAAAAGGGGAGAAAAAAGCTTGAGGTTCTCACATAATCCCATGACTCCAGGAGCTAGGTCATTAAAGAAAATCCCAAATATCACAAGCATTGTGAGAAGTTGGCCTCATCGCCGACACAGGTGCAGTGCTGGAATATTGTCTGTGGAAACATCAAACCCAAACATTTCGGTCACAATACATGAAGGACTTTGTCTTAGGTCATCCTGCTCTTCTGTCATCATGGATTTGAAGAGTCAGACTGGTTGATGAGGATTCCAGGGTTATGGGGAAATATTCACAAAGGATAGGTAAGCAAGAAGCAAAAGAGAGCCACTTTATAGGTGTAGTAATAGCCCATATTCCATTATAAGTGAGTACAGTGTCATACAAACATGTGCTTCCTGAGGCTATGTCTACACGGTGGAGCTATTTTGGGATACCAGCAGTATCCCAAAATAGCTATTTCACGTCTTTTGAGCAAGCCTGTTATTTCGAAATATAACAGGCTCACTATTTCGACGTCCCTGTAAGCCTCATCCCACCAGGAGTAAGGGACATTTCGGAATAGCGCTCTATTTCTGAATTTGGCACTGTGTAGACAACTCCAAACTTTGAAATAAGCTAGGAAATTAACTCAAAATAAGCTAGGCAATTCACATGACTCTATAGAAAAATACCTTTAAAATCAGGCTGGTAGGGCCATACTCTGCTCCCATGGAACCTTTGCGACCTTCTCAATAATTTCATTTCAGAGGGGTAGCCGTGTTAGTCTGTAACTTTAAAAATGATGAATACTCCTGTGGCACCTTGGAGACTAACCAATATATAGAGAATCGTGAATTTCCATGTATGAAACCCACTTGTCAGATGAATTGGAGTGGAAATAACGGAGACCAAGAGATATATATAACAGCAATAGAAGTACCTGTCAATCGTAGGACCCATGTAAATGAGGCTAATTAAGTGGGCTGAGTGTGTTCCATACATAACTTTTGGTATGGAAATGCAAATGTTAAAGGCAGGAGAAATTGGCTTTGTCATGAGCCAACCAGTTACTGTCTTTTTCAAGCCCAGGGTAACAGTGTCAAATTCGTAGATGAATTCCAGTTCTGCAGACTCTCTCTGTAATTGGTTAGCGAAATTCCTTTGCAGAAGAACGGCTGCTTTTAAATCCATGGCCAAGTGACCAGGCAGGTTAAAATGTTCCCCTACAGGTCTGTGTATGTGTTACCATTTCTGATGTCTGATTTGTGTCCATTTATCCTTTGGTGATCAAGCTCTTAAACTTTCTATGCTTCGATTTTCCCCTCTGAAAAATGAGGATGATAATATGTAAGCACCTTTGAAAAGCATTTTGAGCATCTCTATCCCAAAAAGCTCTATACATTGAACCAGATTCTGAGGTGGTGTCAATCAACACATCTCCATTGAATTCAATGGGGCTATACTGATTTACACCAGTTAAAGATCTGATCCAGTAGATTTTGTTAATTATTAAACCACGTCTTAAAATGAGTCCACAACATGAGACACTCGCTCCAAATGCAGATTTCAAACCCCTATAATTAAAGACAATGCCAGCTCGTAGAGTTGGTTAGAAACAGATTTTCTATTCCGTAACATTTCAAGATTTTGAAAAAAAAAAGAATCTTGAATTGGGATGAAAACAATATTTCAACACTTTTCAAGGAATTAAATCAGAAAAATAAGCTTGAGGTCAAGGAAGCATTTTGATATTGACTATTATTTATATTTTTTACTTTTTTAAACTGAAGTAAATTTTGAAATACAGTCATTTTGAAACAAAAAAAACATAATTTTACATTCCAAAAACTTGAACATGGGACTTTTCAAAATGGCATCATCCAATTTTTGTTGAAAATAAAATGTTGAAATCAATAAGATTTCACACAGATGATGGTTTTGCCAAAATGGAATTTTCAGTCTGGAAAACTCTTAATGAAAAGTTCTTGACCAGCTCTACCAGCTAGTATGTTTTCAACATTTTTTTCTGCAGCAAATTCAATAGCTGCACCTATGTACATTATTATCTCAGCCATTGTAGGAGGTGTCTTTGGTTCTCATATTAATTTTGCCTCTTGACTGGTGAGACAGCAGCAGTTTTCAGGGAGATGGCAAAAATAAATCACTTGATGCCATTGACTGGAGAAACACTGTGACTGTTCAAATGATTTTATGGCCATCACAATGTCTCCTGCCGTTGCTGTCACATCACTTAGAACCTGGATCCTACTCGCATTACGCTTGACAGGCTGTGAATCATGTCAAGGAAATGGCTGTGTGGAAGATTCCAAGACACCACCGTTGGGGGAGATCTCTATCCAGCAATGATTTTGAATGGCATTTACGTGCAAGGTAGTAATTTGTATCCTAAGAAGACACCCCCAAATATTTCAGTGCGGGGATGGACCTAAAGCTTGGGCATCATGTCTCAGAAACAGACAGTGCTGGTCAGAGTAATGAATTTGCATGTTTCCTTCAACAGAAACCATAAAATTGCACATGGACTGAAGGAGACAGGGTTAGATTCCTTGTCCTCTCACTCCAATAGCACAGGTCTCTGCTGCTACTGGAGACACAGATTTCAGTGGTGTACACGGGGTGTGGGCCAGATTGGAAAAGATCTAGGATGGAATTGGAGCAGAGGAACTACAGACAGTAAGGGTGCATCTACACAGCACCCTAAACTCGAAATAGGCTATGCAATTTTCCCTACGCCAATTGCATATCTCATTTCAATTGAATTTCGAAATAGCGTATCTACACAGCGCCAAATTTGGAAATAACGTGATTGTTCGAGACATCCCTTAACCCTCGGGGAACAAGGATTACAGGGAGGTCTTGAAAAAGGAGACATATCTTAAAATAGTCGACGCATTCAAAAGACGTGAGGTAGCTAGTTTGGGATACTTCCTGTACTCTGAAATAGCCCCGCTATTTAATGTAACCCAATTGTAAAATTTTCAATACATTTACAGTTCAAAGAGACCAGGGAAGCTTACCATTGGAAGAGACCAGACAGATGGGGTGGGAGTTGCAGTGACAAGGGGGGACCAAGATGGAGTTTATTTAAGATGGAGAAGGTCTATGTTCTTATGTTCTTATGTTCTAACACGTGAAGGTCATTGCACATAACTAGGGGATAGAATCTGCCCTTCTGTTTCTAAGGCTGCTGCAAAACTAATGTAAGGAAGGAACCTGGCCCAGGTAAATTTGATTCCATGCCATTTTGTACAACGTAGCAATAGGGACTATCTGTTTTAAAACACCACAGTTTTTCTGCTCACATCCTGCAAGCTGACATGGGGGACGTAATCTCACATTGGGCTCCATCAGGGCATCTCCCTTGCCGCTTAGGAGTCTCTCTCCCCCTAAATTAATATTTTATCCTGTTGATGCAACTTGTCCACTTATTTTCCCAGTTGTTGGCTGTATGGATTTCCCAAATTGTTTCCTCGGGGCACTCGCAGAATCAAGATCTTGCATCTTGAAACCTCCTTGCCGCTCAATTATTGAAATTTCTTGCTGTAAAATGTATGCGTTTTTAATTAAACGCAGCAAAAATAGCCCGGAGGAAGTCTGAAAGTGAGAGGAACATTCTGCTAAAAAAACCAAACTCAATTAGAATGTGCAGCATTAGGAATTTCTGACACTACATAAAAACCTTCCCTAGTGGGGTGCAGGGAACAGGGCACGGTATGAAGGCCACCTTATAATAACTGTGTCTGAAGCTGAAGCCACCCGAGAGGCCATTTGCTGAGGAAATATGCCTAATTGAACAGCAAAGATAGGCAGATGTCACAGCTCTCAGTCTATTTCAGAGCTAACATGGCATGAGATTCCTCCCTACATGACAGGAAACTGCAGAATTAACTTACCCACGGTCAGAGCTGTTCCCCACTCTGGCACTCCGAGTGCAGAAGGTGGGGGTCCGCAAGAGATCTTAAATACCTCACCTCTATAGGCTCTGTTTACAGAAACTCCCCAGAGTCACAGTTTCACTGACTTTGCGGGGTAGCTGCCACCATCAAGTGATTTAAACCCTGAAAATCAGGAGGAAACACTTGAATTCCTCCCCCGGTGATACCCTAAGCTTTTTTTGCCACGAGAGCTTGAAAAAAGAAACAAAAAAACACAGAAAACAAACTGATTCTCTGATAGCTGATCTTTCAGGCTAGCTGGCATACACACCAAAACCTCCTGCTACCTTGCAGGTCTCAAGAATCAAATCATCGCCTTAAAAAGGGTGATTTTATTAACAAAACAAAAAGATGTCCTTAATAAAGCATACTTGGCTGCTAGATGTTACAGAACAACTGAGAAAAATTAAAAACACCGAGTGCATAGTCTTTCTAGGTATTGCTTAGATAGTGCATGGGGGAAGCAAATGGATTTTGCACAGAGAAACTTAACCAAACAACCAAAACAAAGAAAAATTAGCCTGATTGCAACTAAATATACTTTTTCTTTTATTTACTCACAATACCTTCACAGTCCAGTCCACTCCCATGTCCAATATTCCTTGTAGACATGGTAATTCAGATTACTGCATGTTGCTCCCTCCCGCCCTTAACTTAGAAGATCTACAAAGGAAGAGCAGACTTGGTATCTATGTACAATTCAAATTTCAGCATCGTATCCCATTGGTTCTTCTGGCCCCCTGCCAACACCCTTGCTAGCTACCTGAGTTTAACCCTTGAGTCACCTAGTGCTGGCAGCCGTCCTCCTATCCATCACAGTCACAATAGTGGGATCTAGAAGGGGAAAAAAATTCCATGTTCTATGGCCAGTCATAGAGGGTGAGGAACCTGTCTTGCTTCAGAGTTCATGCCCTATTGGCTATAGGACAATACTCCTAAAGTATAGCTTTAATAGAGGTTTTGATTCATGATGCATAATGGCCCAGCAAAAAAGCATGAATTTATCATGGCTTCCCCCATTCTCTACAAACTTCTGACCAGCCATGAACTTTCTCGCAGGATCACCTGCCCCCTGGAGGAAAGGTGGTCCTTAAATCAGTGCACTCTGTGATGCTGTAGTGAGGAATTCTCAGCGACTGGCGTTGCAGAAGGCCTAACCCAGGACACGTACAAGTCCTCCAAAGAGATCCCCAGCACAAATATGACTTGAAACATACATGATTTTGTTGATGTATGGATGTTGATGGGAGGCAGTTGAATGATGGGCTAGAAATGAAAAGATCGGTCCCCCTACCCATCAACAAGAGCATTCTGACCCCATGCAGAGTCCTATTAACTCAGGGTATGTCTACACTAGCCCCCTAGTTCGAACTAGGAAGGCTAATGAGGGTGACCGAAATTACTAATGAAGAACGGGATTTAAATATCCCGTACTTGATTAGCATATTCCAGCTGGTCACCATTTTGGAAACTGACTAGACCGAAGTAACTGACGGTATCTACATGCGGCAGAGAAGCACGATTTCGAGATAAACCCCTTAGTTCAAACTAAAAGATAAACCTCATTCCATTCCATTCCATTCCATTCCATGAGGTTTAACTGTTCATTCGAACTAGGATCCATAGGAGTAGTAGGATCCATAGGAGTGTTTCCAGCTGATCTAGAGAAGTGATTATTCCCCTTAATTCAGCATGGGTGAGGCCACATCTGGAGTAGTGTGCCCAATTCTGTCACCCTCCCCCCCAGCCATTACAGAAAGGATGTGGACGCATTGGAGAAAGTCCAGCGGAAGGCAACCACAATAATGTGTGGGTTGGAGCACATGACCTATAAGGAGAGGTTGAGGGATTTGGGCTTATTTAGTCTACAGAAGAGAAGAGTGAAGGGGGACTTGACAGCAGCGTTCAACTACCTGAAAGGGGGTTCCAAAGAGGATGGAGAGAGGATGTTCTCAGTGGTGACAAATGACAGAACAAGGAGCAATGGTCTCAAGTTGCAGTGGGGGAGATCTTGGTTGGATATTAGGAAATTTCCCTAGGCGGGTGGGGAAGCCCTGGGATGGGTTTCCTAGAGAGGGGGTGGACTCTCCATCCCTAGAGCTTTTTAAGTCCCAGCTTGACAAAGCCCTTTTGGCTGGGGTTGGCCCTGCTTTGGGCAGAGGCCGGACTCGATGGCCTCCTGAGGTCTCTTCCAGCCCTAGAATTCTAGGATTCTATGACCCTTATTTGTGAATTCTGTTCTGCATTGGTCCTTAAAATGTACTCATTGCTCTAGTGTCTCATCACCTTCCTGTAGTGATTGCAATAATGACATGACTAACTTCTGTCACGTTATTTTCTCATCCTCTCCACACAGGGAGACGCATGTGCCATATTGGGTGCGTCTAGACTGGCAAGATTTTGCGCTGCACAAAATCTTGCTGCCTGTCTATGCTGGCCGCAAGTATTTGCGCAAGAACACTGACTTTGTACTGTACAAAATCAGTGGTTCTTGCGCAAATACTCCGACGCTCCCACTCAGGGATAAGCCCTCTTGTGCAAGTATTCTTGTGCAACAGGACCAGTGTAGACAGCCAAGTTAATTTCTTGCGTAAGAAAGCCCGATGGCTAAAATGGCCCCTAAAAGTATGGTGGGCCCTAGGTACTGTGCCTACTGTTCCTAATGGATAAGTCAGCCCTGTTAGCAATAGTATAAGCTCTATCGAGCATCAGGTGAAGGGATTTTCAGCACAGCACCCCATGGGTTTGAAATACTGCAGACAAGGCCCATGAAAGAGAGCAGCTGGGACAGCTGCAGAAGCAATTTAAATGTGAATGTTTGATTGGGAATATGGGCAAAGCATGAAATGAGGTGGATATGTTTCTCCTCAGATCCTCTCTGGGACACAGAGTAGAAAGATAAATGATTTCAGGGCTTGTCCATGAAGGTTTTTCGATAAATAAATGAAGCACTAGAGCTGCGTGTGGAAAAAGTGAATAAGGAAAAGTTATTTACTTATTCCCACAATATAAGAACTAGGGGTCACCAAATGAAATGAATAAGCAGCAGGTTTAAAACAAACAAAAGGAAGTATTTCTTCACTCAGTGCACAGTCAATCTGTGGAACTCCTTGCCAGAGGATGTGGTGAAGACGAGGACTTTAACAGGGTTCAAAAAAGAGCTAGATAGGTTCATGGAGGTTAGGTCCATCAATACTTATTAGCCAGGATCGGTAGGAATGGTATCCCTAGCCTCTGTCTGTCTGGAAATGGGTGACAGGAGAGGGATCTCATAAGGATTACCTGTTGGGTTCACTCCCTCTGGGGTATCTGGTATTGGCACTGTCGGCAGACAGGATACTGGGCTAAATGGACCTTTGGTCTGACCTAGTATGACCGTTCTTATGTTCTTATGTGTGGAGGAAGGAAGTTGTACATCGTGAAGGATTTTGAGATATCCAAATTTGGCTTTTAGTTATTTTTCTGAATGAAAACTGAAATTTTCAAAGTTCTCCATTAAGGAAAGATTATTTTTGGATTGATTGAAAAGTTCCATTTTGGTTTTGGATGTTTGTAGATAGTTATGTATCTGCACAAATTAAGCAACTGTCAAACTGAAAAGTGATTTCAAAATGAAAACATTGAGGGTGTGTCTAAACTACATGGCTCCATTGATGGAGCCATGTAGATGAGGCTGGTCGGCAAAGGGAAATGAAGCCGCAATTTAAATAATCGCGGCTTCATTTAAATTTAAATGGCTGCCGCGCTGAGACAACAAGCAGCTGATCAATTTAAATGGCTCCCGTGCCAACCTGAAAGCCCTTTATCGACCTCCCCGTTATACCTCGTAGGATGAGGTTTACCGGGGAGGTCGATAAAGGGCTTTCATGTTGACAGGGAAGCATCCAGATTGCCTCTATCTGCCGACAAACAGCTGATTGGCAGAGCGGGGCAGCCATTTAAATTTAAATGAAGCCGCGATTATTTAAATCGCAGCTTCATTTCCCTTTGCCGAACAAACAAATCTACATGGCTCCATCGACGGAGCCATGTAGTCTAGACGAACCTTAAGTGTTTCATTAAAAAAAAATGTCAACAGGACATGGCGACTTTGCCTCACAATTCTGGTGAAATCGGGCCAGCTTCACCACGTATTTTAGCCTCAGTGAAGATGCGTGTCCCAACAGAATATGTCTCTAGTAAACACAAAGATTTCTAGGGGAGGAGCTAAGGAAGCTAGACCGCATGTGCTGTCCACTGGCTCTTATAGTGCCTTTCCCTCTCATGCAGTGAAAAATTCAGATGGATTTGGAACAAAGCAGAAATTGTGGCAGATCACAGTTTGAAATGGGACTCATCTTACCTTTCCTGCCAGCCTCCCCCTTGAAATGTAAATAAATAAGGTCAGAGCCACAGATAATGAGACCCAAGGGTAGGGGAGTAAAAACCCAAAGTCATGTTTTCTTAGGCTGTGTTGCTGTAAAAATCCAGACAAGCAGCTGGGTAAGGCAAAATTAGGCCTCTATCCCCATGCAGCTGAGCTCAGAGGTGCCCTAGAGAAACAGTGGTTCATGAGCCAATGAACAAACACAGACAGCGGCATGCCGAATCCTGCAACGACCTTCCCCAGATCACTGCTTAAGCCTGAGCAAAAGCCTGCTGGAGACTCTGCTGCTTCATGGCCTATAACTAGGCCTGGCAGAATTTGAATGGATCTAATTTTGAAGGATAATATTGTTGGTCAGTATTTGTATCTTAAACTTAATTTTTCACAGTTGCATGAAATTTCAGGGGAACAAAACATAGGAGGGTTGCTCCAATCTAGCTGATCTCATCTGAGGAAGTGGCGTCTACCCACGAAAGCTCATGATACTACATGTATTCTTGTTAGTCTCTTAAGGCCATGTCTATATTAGGCGATTATTTTGAATGTTCTAAGCTCGGCTTCTGGGCACCCGATTTTACAAATTCGAAGTTCCGTGTCCTCACAACAGGGAAGAATCGAATATTGTCCGAGGCAGGCTCCGTTAATGTGGACATGCTACCTCAGATGCAGAGCCCCAGGAGGCACTCTCAGGAGCTGTGGGAGGCCGACTAATTCGAATTAGTGGCACCGGAGCATCTATAATAACGCTATTTCGGATTTACACGTTTGGGAAAAGCAGGACAGCAGAGTTTGAATTCCACAGCCCTTTATTCTAGAATAACAGGCTTGGTAGTGTGGACGCATCGCTTAGACCTTGGGGGACTACTTTCGGGCTAAGGTCCTAGTGTAGACTAGGCCTGAGGTACCACAGGACTACTCACTGTTCTTACAGTTACAAATTAACATGGCCCATATTTTGTGACTTTTAGAAAATGGGAGTCAGACAAAATTATTTAATGGCAGTAGATGTTGAGATTCAAAAATGTAAAGCTTTGTAATGGCTACAACCCAAATTGCCAATGTCACGTGTCAAATCATGTCAAGTACACGTCCTTAAATCAAACCCGCCTAAGTCCTCAAGCAGCATTTTTCTTACTTTGTGTATATTTCAATGCCTATCAAGAGGCATATCTTTTCATTGGCTTGTGTGTGTAGGGAGAATCAACCTTTATCGACATCCAGCGATAACAATCTAATCCTCTAAGCCTGCCCATAACAAGCTTAAAAGTGGTCTAGGGAGACCGAGATTTGAGTGGCGATTACATAGACTTTCTGAGCTTCCTGTCTGTCAGAAGAGCTGCTGACTCAACAGTCCCCAAGGCGGGACAGGAACACGCTGTCTGCAGCATGAGCAGCATTTTAACTAGGAACTGCCCAAGGGAAAAGGGAAGTGGCAAAGGCCCTTTTGTCATAGGG